GTTTCGATGAAGTTGAAGTTTTGTCATGGCGTGCGGCAGGTTCATTACCATAAAATAAATCATTATAATAATGGAACTAAATAAAAGACATGAAATCCGACGGAAGAAATAAAACATTCTCCTCTTTTTCCCTGTAATAATTCAACGGTTTGAATACACTGATGGCAAAATCCCAACGCCAAATTGAGCCGAGGTTAGGTTGGAACGAACTGCTGCTAACATAGTGACCTCAATGTAACCGAAAGATAATAGAAATCGGGAAAATAGTGAAATAAGTCCGTTGCCATCGTCGTATACTTGGCAATATTAATCGAAAAAAAGGAAAACTTACATCAACGAAAAGCTTGAGGGCGATTTATAAGATCTACCTATTCCCAGATTTCATGTAACTTGTGGCGTTTGTATTTTATGGATTGTATATAATAGAAGGGGTAGTTGTATCGTGTACACGGTAGCTCTCGGCCTTATTTGTTGGATAGAGGCGAAGATTTTTATCTCGATTTCGACCTCCGCTAATAGCTCACGAAAATTAAGTTCTTAAACGTAGAAAATTACTTTTTTATTTTCGGTTGTAAAAGTAAACTGTTACGGAAGCACTCAATTTAATAAAATAAAAATGAAAATTTATTGGTGAAAGGAAGAAATAATATGGAAGATAACCATTCGGAAGCATATTGCTAATTTATTAGCAAACACAACTATATGATATACGATATAAGATCAATTCTCCATTTGTTTATAAAAAGAATCGCAACACTCGAGAGAAAATACATGAAAATCATCGCACCACCGTAAAACTTGATGAACCATTAAATGTTATATTTTTTTACATGAAAATCTTATCGATAATTTGTCAAGAAATTTTAAAACCATAAATTTGGATTATAATATAATGTAATATTATATATTTATGTGCATGTCGAACATCCTCAAGCCACCTCCAATTATTTTTGATGTTGATAGTTCAATTGTCTTGGAAGATACGCAATGTTTGAAAGCCTAAAAATCAAGGATCAAATAAGTCCTTTGGATTATTCTCCTCCATTGAACTAGTGATCATTAAACCTTTAATTACAGAGATTCTCCAGGGATTGCTGTCAGGCATTTAACTCCTAAATGAAAATAAAGCAAAGAACAATCCGTCAATTGTGTTGGATAAGAGATGCTCCACCGTATATGAATCAATAAATCCATTTTTTTCCACACCATAATTTCGTATGGGGTAGACGAGCGAAGAAGAAAATATTCTTTTCGAAAATGTTGTGACGGCTCAAAATTTTAACATTGTTAAGAAAGCTTCTACGAATATAACTTTTATCTTGAAATTTAGTTTGTTAAAAGAGAAACGGTTTTTTCATTAACAGATATTCCAAAAGAGGTCTGTAATACTGACCTTTAGGGAAGTCTGGTCTGGAATAAAATAGACACCTAAAGCATTGTAAAAAAATTGGGTTATCCACATTTTTGCTAAATTGTTTCAGAATAAAATCGTCACTTCATGAATTAGAACGAACCGAACGAATAAATTACTTGGATTTCTCAAACCTCAACCACATTCGACGTTTCGAAATCCTGGTCAATCGGCTTAATTTCATTCAATGCGCCCGTGCATTAACCGAATGCACTCTTCACCATTTTTCCAAAATAATAATCCGTCTTGTCCTCGCATCAATCAAGAGTATATCGACCGCCGAACTGATCCACGTGATTATCAGATATCTGATTCCAGAATCAGTCTCTTCATCAGCCCCTCGGTTATCTTGACGATCCGATTCGCGATACCGGAAAATATTACGGCCAAAAATACGCAGATCGGGATAAATTTTAGAGCAATTACGCCCACCTTTGTAATGCCAAATTCCGCATGATAAACAATCAAGTGCACGGAGAGAAATATTCAAGAAAAATTACGGAACAACAAGCGACGCAATCATCACATAAATTCTACGATCTGTTCAAAAATTGTTCAAAATGTTCAAAAATTACTCATCCATCTGACGCCTCATGGCTAGCTATGAGTCACCGTGAGAGGCGGATTTTTCCAGAATGTTCCGTATAAATTTTTGAACACCCAATAATTTTTCTGTTCTAGGACATAATAAGTCCTGAAATTTCGTTCGTTTTTAAAATCCCCAAAAAAATACGTGACTATTTCGAATTTTTTCGGTGACAGAAACCGAAAGTTTACTGAAAGTTCCAGATTTATTTCCCGAAAATGATTCTCACTGGCGGATTACGTGAAATGTTCTGTAATTTTTCTTGAATATTTCTCTCCCTGTGTATTTGTTCGATGAACCGGCAAATGGGCTACAAAATTCTCATTGCAAGCAGTCAATAAATTGACTCTTTGTAGTAAACATTCATTAATTCATTAACCCGATGATTCCATCACCAAACGAATAATGAAACGGTGAATCAAATGAATCTCTCTCTCGCAAATATATATATTGACTGACCGATCCTTTGGATTGTATTATGATTCGTACGATGTACAAATATTCCACACCCATGTATAGTCAAAATTCACGTTTTTTTCATTTATTTGGCAGATCATCAATGGGATTGATGTAGAAAAAATATAACGTTCTTGCGTTTTGTCATTATTTATTGGCTCACCAAGTTTTGTGGCGATGCGATCATTTTCATGCATTTTCTCTACAGTTTTGTGATTCTTAAAAGGATGGAAAAAACGCAGAAAAATGTTTGCATCATCTTGAAACTCCGTGAGTCTATAGATAATGACGAAATGCAAAAACGTTATATTTTTTCACGTCAATCCCATGGTAAGTTTGCCAGAAAACTGAAAATACGTTAATTATAACTCCATATATTTGTGTAGAACATCCTTAATCTCTTAGCGCCACTTTTCTGGTTAATTTAACCATGATTAAGTTAGTTAACCATTATTTCGTTAATGTTGGGTCAAGAATTCCGATGGATTGAAATTAAAGCCAGATTAAATTGCAGTCAATGGGAGCATTTAACCCGTACTTAAATATGGCTGCTAATCTCGTGGTTAACTTATGAGAAACCTGGTCCTAAGTGTAAAGTCAGTGAATTCCGTTATCACTAATTCAATCGATTTCTTTCTATTTTTTCCTCTCATAATTGCCTTTATTCAAGTCAAATTGTGTAATTGATTTAGATTGCGGCAATTATTAAACGTCTTTTTATTATTATTTTATTTCTTGTTAATTTATGACCCTGATTATTCTATAATTTCGAGTTCTAACATTTATTATTTAGTACTATTATGATGAAATTATAATAGTACTAAAGACGAGAACGGTGAGTGCAGATGTGCCTGACACTTTCAGGTATAAGTATCCACTAAATAAAAATATTATGTTGTAGCTGCTAAGGCGAATTGTATTTATTTATAATAAACGGATATATATAATAAATCATCAATTCGTCCAAACCTAACACAGCCATCAATTCAAAGGTAAAATAGAGAAGATGAAAAAATGTACTGCTTATTAAAAATTAGTTTTTGAAGAATACCATTGAGAAACGTCTGCATTTGGTGATTTTACTCCGTTAAATATTTTTCGATTCTTTTTTGACTGATGAAATGGAAGAAAACGTATAGAAATCTAAGCCCGAACAAAAACCCCAGATGCAACGAGTATCATTCGCAGTCAAAAAGCAATTGTCAATAAATATCTCGGGATTGAAAAGAGCTAGAAAATTTATTGTAGAAACCTTTTTGATAGATTTTGTCCTGGACTATATGAAAGATTTATGAAACGCAACTGTAGGCGCTTCAGCGTTTCATCGGATAGGAATCGAGATCCTGCGGGTAACGGTCATCGGTGTTTTTCAAATAAGAGAAAAAAATTAGTGTATTGTCTTGGATGTCCAACGGGAAGGACAGTATCGTTAGTAATAGTCATTCAGACGTCATCGAAAACGGACACACAATTAATATAGCCAAAAGAACGCGTTAATCATCAAAGTCAATCCATTCGGTTGAATTCACAATTTTCTCATCAATTAATATCAGTTAGTTGCCTAGTAATCATCTTGTTAATCGAAGTGTTAATCAGACGGAGAAACACTCAAAAAAAAATATCAGACAATTATCGAAGCGGTGTACATATTGCAATTTAACGACCAGAGATATTTAATAAATCGATAGTATTTTGTGTAGAATTTCCTCGTCTTTTTTCAGTACATGCCCATCCGATTATTATTGCACATAATTGAATATTCTGCTTCAATCCTAAGATATTGTGGAGAAACTAATAGATAATTGAATATAACAATTTTTCGTGATAAATATTTGACAAACTACACGGAGAAAAAAAATGTCTTTAGCCAAGAATATTTACTAATCACAAAAAAATATATTTGGCATTAGCAAGTCTTAGGGGAATATTTACACATTGATGACCACATTTACTGGTGGGACGAAAATGTTCCTGGCAAAAGTAATTTTTTTTCTCAGTGTACGGCGGTATTGTCAAAAAAATCTTATTATATCTCCATTAGATTCCAAGGTGTTCTCAAAAAATTATTTTTTCGAAGAAATAAATTTTTTGACAGAAACGAAACTAGAAATATTTTTTACGGTAGGAAATTTCCAAAATTTTAAGTTGAAACCAAAACAGTGCAGGGAACAGGTCCAAATCGCTGTTTGAAACGTTGTTTTTGATTTTTCTGTACCAATATCTATATAGAATCTATATTATAGATACATAAACAACCATTTTTTTCCAATGACAGCTGTGGGTTTCAATGATTCGTTTGTTCTAAATAAGGACGCGTATTTTTATTTGACAAGATAACGATTTCAAAATTAAAAAAAAAAAACAAATCATCGATATCTCCTGCAATAATTGAGATAGAGATCCTCGTCCGCGTTCTTACTCCTTCATTTAGACCGGAATTTTTGCTAAAAAATACAGAAAACGCTTGCAAAATTTGAAGGTAAAAATTTGAGGAATAATCCATATACAATATACTTTTTTTATATTCCGAATTTTCTTAATTCTTTCAAATAAAAAAAATAAGCCCGATGGAAGAAACAAGTGATCGATGGTACTATTTGAAAACATTTCAACAAAATAATGTTCTATGCATCTGGATAGAACGTATGTGTAAATGCATTTTGAAAAAAAATTTTAATGAGATGAGGTTATTTTCGAGAAAATCGTAACCATTTAGAGACAAATCAAACGACCTACAATAAATAGTTCTTAAGATACCCCTCAAATTATCCACCATCTTTAAAAAGAATGAACAACTTCATTAGCAATGGTGAGGGTTTTCAACTTGTCAAGCTCTAGGTTGACAATTTCGATGCAATGGTTCACTCCTATCTGTCATCCCCCGGCTATAATTTCATAACAATTCAATTTAAATAAATTTTCGAATACCTGAGATTTTTCCCCTAGATTATCTCCCCGGTACACGGATATTTGCACCCTCCCAATGAATTTTACGTGTAAGATAATAGCGAGCATTATCCTATGTTTTTTTGTTATAGATGCCCATAGAATTAAGCTTTCTTCATCAATTACCGACCTTTAAGCTAAGAGCAGAACAGTTGTTGGACAATAGTGAGAAGAAATGAGATGTTATGACGAATAAATTTTCCACTATGACATACATTAAAAAATTGATGTACAATTATTTTACATTCTGGTTACAATTGACAATCACAAATAGTACTGCTTAATGAAACAGGCTTTCAAATACCAATTATAATTATCCTAATGAAAATTATTGGCACAGATATACCCACTGATGATTGAGGTGGTTCAATGAAGCTCAGTCTGTTTGGGAAGAAATAAAAATAGCTTATTCGTGCTCGTCTTGAATGATTTCATGCAGAGATAGGAGGTGAAAAATGCTAAAGTACATCGTCCATGACTATTCCATTCAACATGAGTAAAACTACTAAAGTGTCTTTAACAAAAAGTTTGTGAAGGAGCAATTTAACAAGATGAAAAACAAAGAAAAAACAGCTGAGTGAAAACAATACAACCGACGAACTCTCTTGTGTTTGTTAAAAATTTGACAAGAATTTCACAAGATCTGCGAGTCTTTATAAGTCACTGACCAGAAATGCCTAGAGTAATTTCAGGGCTGACTGTTACTATACTAACAAAAATTGCACTTGTTAATGGCTGTATTAATGTTGTTACAGAATATATCGAATTAAATAAGAGTATTTTCTGAATTTATTTACTTTAATACAAATTTTACATTCACACAATGTTGCTCTGCCTCAGAAACGGGAGTCTGGTGTCCATTTGCTTACGTAGTTATTACATTTTTATTTCCATTCTCTTCTGTTCCTCTTCTTTTTATTTGTTTGACAATTGCAATACGTAGAAATAGATTTCACGCTTTTATAACATACAAGAGAGTATCCTTTTAGAGTACTACTTTTCATTTTTAAAAACATTTTTTTTCAAATTTCTCTTATTATCGTCCTTAAGAATAGAATTCCTCAACACTGGATTCTGAATAATTGTTGTATTCAATTTTTACCATTGTGGAATAGTCTGTTTTATGGATGTAATTCAACTGGAATTTTTACTTCGCTCATTCGGAGATTACCATTAGTGTGCACGAGTAGATAATTTAATTCGAGTTTTTCATAAAAATCAGCAAAAGCTATAGGAGAAAAATTACTACAAAACTCATGATATATTTTCAAATGTATTTTAATGCTTCTTATTCTGTCCATTCATAAGTTGTCGTATGTTTTCTTCACTATTCATAAATCGAATCAATTGGACTTTTTAATGTCATCTGATTACGTCCAAAATGTTCATTTATAAAATAATACTTAAAAAAAAATGGAGAAAATACGACGCACTGTGCATTGAACTATTGTCTTATTGAGAGTAAAATTCATTAACAAGTTTGCTCTTCCCATACACCAATCTTAGCTGATCTTGGTTAGTATTTTTATTCCCAACTTTCACTTGATTAAATTGGCCATCTTATGATTAATTTTTAAAAACTTACAATTTTCTTTTTTTTCTTTAAATGTCTCTACTCGTCACACGGGTTTTCATCACTTTACCAAATAGTGCAAATCATAGAAAAAATATGCTAAATTAAAATAATAGAAAGAGGACGTAATGCAGAATCAGGCAAAAAATGATTTGTTCTTTGTTTAATGTTGATGATAGGGACTTCAAGTTCGTGAAGACCATAAAGTTGGAATAATTTTTTTTCAATCAGTTCAATTCTCTTCCTCATCCTCCTCATCTTCCTGCTCGTCCTCTTCCTCACCAGTACTTTCTGGTTTTTCTTCTACCTTCTTGGGCCTTCCACGTCCACGTCCTGATGATGGAGCAGTTGATTTCGGCGAACCCTGCTACGAAAAGCAATAACAAAAATATTAGATCCTCAGTAAAAGTTGGGCATTACAAATGGCATCAATTTTATTTTTCAATCAATAATCATGTATACCTTCAACACATGAGCGAACCTTAAATGTAAACGATAGGCAATACTTTGGAATAATTCAATAATTTTTGAAATTGAAAATATATTCCTCACTTTTATTACCTTCTTTTTATGGGAACCTTTAGGTCTTCCTCGTCCCCTCTTGACTGGACCAGGTGGTGCATCATCTTCATTATCAGATTTTGGTGGACGTGGTGTATTGTTGGTTTTTTCTACTGCTGATCTGCCACGTTTCTTGGGCTCTTTGACAGCACCTTTATCCGATTTCGCGGGCCTTCCACGCTTCTTCTTCTGCTCCTCAACTACTGGTGAATTGTCGTCGGACATATTCAAACTTGGATAGCTCTGAAATTCATAGAAAATATATATTTCTGGTTAACTAATGTAGAGTCAATGATTTTGCTTGTCAAGGTTTTACAATCAATTATTCCTTTGATGTTTGAAGATTTGGGAAAAAAAGACCGAGTGAATAATATACAGGCAGATAAGAATATATATTTGTGGGCACTAAGCAACAAATATTAATAATAAAGTTAGTAAGATCAACTCTTTCACTGACTGAAGGCACGCCAATCTAATTTCGGAAAAAAATGGAAGAATTAAAACGGAAAGTTTAAAAAACTTAATTGCAAAGATAATGGTGGTTTTTGGTTGTTTTTAATACTTAGCGAAAATGGATTGAGAAAAAAATACCGAGTCACTTTGTTTGATTATAGGAAATTGGAAAATACATGACATGTCAGGATTTTTACGAATTTCTAGTACTATCAAGCTCTCATCACTCGTAAGTCGCATTGAACTCTCATACGTTCCCGCCAGTACTTTAAGATAAAAAAAAACGACCATGAACACGGAGAAAATCATAATAAATTTATAAAAATACCTATAAAATTAGTGAAAATATTTCAAATTCATGGTATAAATGTCGAGTTACGTGGATGATTAATTCTGTATTCAATTATAAATTAGCGAAAAATTACTCGCCCGCCATTTTCAAAATACAAGTTGGAGAAACCTCGAGAGAAAACGACGCGTGGGTAACGGCGGCGCCCTTAACCGTTTCCGAGTCGAGAGAGAACCGACGCCAAACATCGTGGAAATTCGCGCGTCACTTTTTATCCACTTCATAGAGAATTCTGACATGAAATAGCCCCGTAGAAAAATGCTCAGAGTGGCTAAAAAAAAAAAATAGGCGGAAAGTTGAAATTTTAAAAAATCACTGAGAAATACAATCAGTAAAATTAATTGCACAAATAAGTATTTTCCCGGCTTGAGACGCCATTAAATTGAACTACAGTGTCAGAACAGCGAGAGAGAAGAGGACGCGGCGTCGAGCGTGCGTCGCAAAGCCCACAAACACCCGTAAATCCATTTGGCTTGCTGCGAAAATTAATATCTCTGCAAGTAACCCTTCAACCAATCTCAAATTCATCCACAAAATTCCCTAATTATCCTAACCAATTATTCCTACGTTTTTCACATCACTTCAAATCATGTAAACCTGTGGGGTTATAAAATATATAAATAAAAATACCTTAACGAAAAAATAGATGAATTTTCAGTTGAAGCGCGATGATAAACGTTCACAGCGGATACTCACCTCCGGATCTTTCGTGGTGTTGTAGGAGACAAAGGCGGTTGCCGGTGCGCGCGTCGTAGCGTCGGCGTCTAGCACACTGAGACGCGATTCGAGTTCCACTATCGCGAATACCTCCCTCGAGCTAGCTCTTCTCACACTTCTCCAATCACCAATACACTCTTACCGCACTAATACCTCTGTCCTCTATCCTATATACGCTCAGCTCGCGGCCTCTTCAATATCATACACTCATACTTTTCTCCCTCCCTAAACTCTACCCCCACTCTCTTCGATCATCATGCCCCCCCCCCCTACACTCTCAAATCATGTTTTTTTTTCACTTTTCTTATTGTCCCATCAATTATTTTTTCAAAACCTGTCTAATAGTCCACTTGATTCATTCAATTATTGGTATCAATCGTTGCATTAAGGTTGTTATTTTTATTTTATTTCAAGAGCTCTTTAAAAGTGGATTGCAATGGATTATTGTTCCGGATAATATTAACTCCCAGAGTAGTCTCCTCGCGTTGTAATACATTCCCGCCAAAAAATCTCCCACTCTCTACTTCCCCACTCTTCACGTGGATTCTCCGCGGATCGATTCATTCAGGAAGCTCCAACCAGTCGTTGATATTCTCTTGTTAATTTTTAAAAAATTCTCAAGATTCCACATAACTGCCTATGAGTACGGGACTTTTCCAATTTTTTTTTCAAGAGAAAAAAAATACTTATTTATTAAGAAGTGTAGTTGAAAGTTTTTATTTTATTATTGAAAAGTGAGAGACGGAAATTCAACTGTAGTCAAAACCGCTCTCGTTATGGCGGGTACTTGGGCATTGATTTCCCGGGTTGATTGTTGGAGAGGAAATAATGAAGAACTTTATTAGAACTCAATTTTATTTCGGATTTAGTCTTTGAAGTGATAGTTTTCATTTTTTTCGATTGTTAAAAAATTTTTGCAATTACCACTTCATTGCAACTTCATCGGTTGGGCATGTTAGAAATTAATAATCCTCTTCAGAGACAACATTGTTTAGAGGCGTTTGATAATCGAATTATTATATTTTTTCCTTCATTTAACTTCAGATTTATGAATATATGGTTAAATTGTTCTCATTTGAGCAAGGGAAACCTGATTTCACGAATTTCATCATATAAACATAAATTAGAAGACAGTGTTTATTGTGGAAATTTCAGGCAAAATAGTGATAACTACAATATATAATTGATGGACAAATTTTATTTACGCAGACGCCGACTTCTAGTAAATGGGGGAGAGGGAAAAGGGGTCACGTGTTGACTCGTTAAACATATCGCCTGGCTATCGCATGATGCAAATGGAAGCTTAATGAAGATTAAATGAAATTATAGTCGGGATTTATGATGATAATCAGGTGCGAATTATAAAAATCTCAGTACTTGTCAACTTGTTTGGGACTGTATTAAATCCATTACATAATTTCCCATTATTCTCAACACAAGAGTGAGTGAATTGTTTTTGTTTACGTTTCTTTTTTTATTTCGATTACTATTTTATACGACCTGACGTAACTTATATTCAAAGTAAAAATTAATACTTATATTACGAAAAATACAAAAAATATATTCATCACATAACCTGTCATATTAATATTAATTGAACAGATTGATACCCCCCATGAGATAAATTAATTATTATTACAATTTATATCGTTTGGAATTCGTTTGTAAGCGATTGATAGTGAAACTGTGAATTATTTGCATTATTATTTTTTGTCCGATAAATTGTGAATAACAACTGGTGTGACCAGGAGGGAACCGACGAGAGTTTCTAAGTCGAAAAACGAGGGGCGTAGTAATACCAGGGGGGAAATTTGAAATACTTACATCTTATAACGATCAATTTCTTTTTCGCAAAAATCTTAAATGAATACTAGAAATAGATTTTACACCAAAGTGGAAGGTATCGATGCACGCCCTAACATATTAAAAGAACTTACTAGAATTAATTAATTAATTTTTATTTTTCTCTTATCAAAATATATATCTCAACACAGTACTGATGACCCCGGAATAGTGTTGAATGTAATCCAATTGCAAGGCTTCGTAGCGAAGAATTAATTGGAGAAATTAATTAAAAACTGTGAATATTTGAGGTGGAGCTGTAATAGATATTTATCCCGACCCCTGGCCGGACTGTATCGGAGGTACCTGTTCATCATCGGTAGGCACACTGTCATCAAAGATCTCAAGAAAGACACACCTGTTGAGAGTGTTGACGAAAATTTCAGGTTTTGCCTCGCCTTATCGTCAAGTGGAAATCCAAGTTGTTGCATGTTGCAATGTCTGCATTCAAACAGACTTCGACAATGATCCTTGTCACTTTGAGGACTTTCTTTGCGTGGATTTTCACTCCATCGGAATTTACCTCAATTTAAGATCGTTAAATTTCCACCATTTACAGACCTTGTGGGAGCGAAACTTATAGCACCGGTGTTCTGAGGACAGTTCATTGAAACGATCCATCGAGAATAGTTTGGCAAGTGTTGTTGAATATTCTCAGAATTTGCTGAATTAATGAATGCAGTGAATTCCCTGTGGAGCTAAATAGAATTTAAATTTCTTGCCAAGGCTGCATTGGACAGGAGCCGAATTTCTGCTGCGTAATATGAGTAATAATTAAAAATGATGACTACTTATGCCTGAGCTAGCTCTTATCGTACTTCATCGATACGTCTCATGGAGGTGTTGCCTAAGGAAGAACACCTGGTCCAATAGCTCAAGACTTTCCCATCGCGTAACCTAAAGATCTTCTCTGGACGTTAAATACCTCTACCTGCATTATAAACGCTCCTCTTCTCTGAATGCTGGTTGTAACCAGAACCGCTGATAAATTTCATCTCAACTTGTTCCCTTGAATTGTAGAAGTAATAGACACTTTTGGTATACGTCAATACGATGCGATGTGTTTCCACAGTACACTATATAGTACTTTGTGCTTTTATTGATCAGAAAACTGTCAAATAACTACTTGTCAGTGCTACTATGTTCTGCCTGTATCGAAAGTGCTTTTTCGTTTACTAACAAGTTTCGTTCAATAGTGGAAAGTTACACGGAGAAAAATTTTCCCCAAAAAGTGTCCCCATACCCGAGAGACATTGAAATTGGTCAACACAAACTTCTCAAAAGCCAACCAAAAATTATACATTCAACTATTCAAATTTTAGATTATTCCATTGAGATGTCACTGAACTTTCTCTTCGATTTTTTTGCAAATTTTAGAAAAGCGTTGACGCGATAGAATTATTTGAAAAGTCAAACTCAGTGCTAGTGATTTATGATTTGGCTTATAACGAACCGGTTTTGTCCCACGCTTGTGGAATTATTTTTCTTTCTCAAAGTCCATTGGTCTGTTTCCCTCCATTTCTCGAGATATTATAAAATTCATTCAATTTTGAAACGACTCAATCAAAATAATTTGACTTTGGCGGACAAAAATTCTTAACAAACACTGCCACCTATCGCTTTTAATTATTTGGTTATCTAGGGGCCTAGATTCTAGGCATCTAGTAACTTTTCCTCAAAACGTCCATGCTACATATGCGTCTACATAACCTCAATTGTTTAGTATACCAGATATTGACGCCAACACCGGCGTCACAGTAATGATCTTCGCATAAAATTTATGAAAACATCTTCATCAATTATTCATTTAAAAACGGGAAATCATTATTCTAAGGTGATGATTTTTTAATTTAAAATCTTGAATTTTTATTTCTTGGATTATATTAAGAACCTTTACATCAGTTGAATCAAGTGTTGGGTGGAGAAGTATCAATTATAACGATAACGATAATGTAATAGTAATGATTTTGTATTATTAACAATGAAGACATAAGTGTTAATTTTTTTACGAAGTGTACTTATCGCGATATAAGATTAATTAATAACTTGATGAAATTTTTATAATGATTCTAACCTCTTTTATATGTTATTCTCATTCCAGTGATCATGGATATTCGCCCAAACAACACGATCTATATAAACAATTTGAATGAAAAAATTAAGAAGGAGGAATTGAAAAAATCTCTTTATGCGATTTTTTCACAATTCGGACAAATAATGGATATTGTGGCGATGAAAACCCTTAAGATGCGAGGACAAGCTTTCGTTATATTCAAGGAAATAGCAAGTGCGACAAATGCGTTGAGATCAATGCAGGGATTCCCGTTCTACGATAAGCCGATGGTAATATATTGATTAATGAAAATTTTAATTTTTTCTCAGTTAGATAAAAACCGATTTTTTCAATGAAGTGTCCTATTATTTTCTCTGTTCAGGATAGATAATATGGGGTATTCTTTCTTAAATAGATCACATGCGTTCATCCGATAAGTCATATTTTCTTTCAGAATTTTTAATTTTTTTTAGTAAGCGCTATAAGTGCGGATCTATTCTTTTAGTTTCTGTAATTGAATAGTATATATTTCTCGTGCGGAAATGCATACTACGTACTTCCTAAACTCAAGCACATAAAAATTAGTTATTATAAAAACGCAATTAGTTATTTTCAGGCCTAATCGTGAAAAAAAAAATCATCCCTTCCCACGTTATCTCGATTTGTATCTATTTATTGCCTCGTCCGATTGGAATATACATACTAGGCTTCGTCAAAAATTAGCGATACTTTTTGTTTCATCTTGTACCTTCGAAACATTCATATCTCTCTGTCGGGTCATCGACTGGTTTTTTCGCGCTGCTCATTGAGAAAATCCCATTGAATTCCCATTGAGTTAAAAATGAGAATTATCGCATTGAACTTCGACTAGCGAGATGAAGTCATAGCGAGATGAAATCATTGCGTCTGTTTGTAGAGTTGGAGAATATTTATGATTAAGTAACTATACCTTGGAAAATTATGGAATAAGTAAAACAATAATCGCTTATAATTGTCATCACGAGTCCAACATTAGCCTAGATTAGCGTATAAGTCACCAGAACAGAGCTCTACAAACCATTATATATACAAAACCATTTTTCCGATAATAAAATACTAAAAATGGGTAAACATTCAGATGAGCAGCCTCCAATCCAATAGTGCATCGATCAATGCATTGGAAACTATGTGCACCGATTAGTTCTTTCTGGAAGTAGAAAAGGTGCAATTTATTTTTAAAAATTCCTCATATTTCGAAATTGTTGATTGTCGTAGCCCTTGGAATACTTTCCACAAATGCTATTACGAAAAAATCCCGGCGTACGTATATTTGTAAACGACAAAGCTCATGTAGTCATTTAAGAATAATTGGGAAGTCTATATCTTGCATTATGTGACATGTCACCTTTTTTTACATATTCATTGAATGGGAAAAGAATTTTGTCAATAGGCATCGTAAAAGAAAATCGCTCCGTCACCTGATTGAGAGATATGAATGTCGAGGATGCGAGGGTGCGACGTGACAAAAAAAATATGGTTAATTTTTGACGATGTCTAATACATACTCACTCGCCTAGAAAAATGCACCAGATGCTCGTTTTGTTCGTTCTTTTTATGGAAATCTTTGCAACCACAAATTTGTGTAAAAATTGAGACATCTAATTCTTATATTTTTAATTATTCTTATTATTATCTATGAATTTAGTTCCTTATTCGCCAAGTAACTTGAACGAAAATTGGGATAATGATACGACGTGGGAAAATAGTTTTTTATATAACTGGAAGCTAAGGAAATGTTTCACATGGAACCATTTTTGAATGGATAAGTTTTCCAACTTATTCCAAATAAAATAGGTGGATGTACGAAATTAAAAATCCGCACTATTTTTTGTTAATTGATGGCGATCGGAAATTTCCGATTAACTGTGCGTCTTCATATACCATCGGGTCATTTCAGTTTCAAGATTTTTTTCATAATAATATGTTCTATATGACTTATTAAAAAATAACGTTGATTATTTGCTAACCATCATTTGGAAGGGTCTAACACAACATAATATCTGCAGTTAGTGCAGAGATTGGTATAAAAAAACCTTGGATGAAAAAGGGTATTAATAAGACGGACGTGAATATTTTTCGTTTCTACAATATTTAAAAAATGAAATATATGTAGAACGATTTGCAAAAACATTTTTGGTGGCGCTATTTGTGAACATTTTAGCTTAATTTAGATATTGTTTCTTTTAGAGAATACAGTATGCAAAAAGTGATAGCGACGTGGTAGCAAAAATGAAAGGTACTTACGCAGAGAGACCGAAGAAGCCCAAGCGAGTACCAGCTCCAGCTGATGAGGAAGCGAAACGAGCGAAGAAACGCGCCAAAGACCAGAAACACGTACAAGCTCCAGGTTATCAGCCTGGTGTTCAACAGCATCCAGGAATGATGAATGCTGCAGTACCAGAACAACCTCCAAATCAAATTCTTTTCCTTACTAATCTACCAGACGAAACAAGTGAAATGATGCTGTCGATGTTATTCAATCAGTTCCCGGGTTTCAAAGAAGTGCGACTTGTTCCAAATCGACATGACATCGCCTTCGTGGAGTTCGAAAACGAAGTACAATCCGGTGCTGCTAAAGATGCTCTCCAAGGATTTAAAATTACTCCTTCACACGCTATGAAAATATCCTTTGCTAAGAAATAATTTTTAACAACATTTTTTGCATTTTTAAGCGAATTGTCTCGCATCGGGACAGGGCAGTATTTTCTCAGTGTCGGTTTTTTATATGCATTTCCATCAATTGTCTCAATTCTCAAAAATATGTTGGTGTAAATAAATTCAACTGAAGAAGTATGGAGACAGTTCTTTGTCCACTATTATTAATGGAGATTTATTCTATATCTCAAGCTCTGAAATAAATATAAATAATTACATGAGATGGTTTTTTTTTTTAATTCAAATGTAAACTTCATATTGTACTATGCTAAGAAGAACACTTGAAAAAATGACAATTTCACGCAATCTAGGCCGTTCTCTGCATTGCTAGCACAATTTTAAGAAATCAACCTAGGAACTTGACCAATTAATTGCGGACAGACCATAATCTCTCCTGTTTGTATTACGAAATCATCCGGACGTCGTGGTGACGGATCGCTTTCGTCTTACGAGTCTTACTCTGACAGCCATTCGACCTATTTCCAGAATTTCGAGATATTTCGAGATCAATTTCCTGTTTTCTATTTATATTAGGGAAAATATATCATCATCGTTGTAAAGTAACATATTTGTATAATAATAGCTAAGAGTCACCCCTACTTCAGGGGATTTCTAAAGAGGGAAGAAATTTCGTCGCATTTTGCTCTAGGATAAATAAGAAACGAAATAATCGTCCCATTGTGCCCCCTTCAATAATTTATACCTAAAATCGGTTGCTCCCATAAACTTATCAGTATTATATGGAAGAAAGCCGTTCTTGTCTCTCAGGTAGTTTATTAGTCTGATACGTCGATTAAACTGTAGACAATGTCACAGTATGTAGGCAAAGTCTTGAGACCACTTGTACAGTCTGGGTTGTTAATGATGCCCATTCGATACAAGGAGGCTCCAAGATAGTGGCAATTTGCTCTGTACGGAGCTTGGACTTTTAGTACCGTGGACTTGAACACTTCTTGCAGAACTTGGGCAGCTCAGCATGTTTGAGAACAACAACCAATAATAACGAAAGAAGTTGTCGGAGCAGCACAGCTACTGCATTATAGTTTGTACGAACCATGTCTTCTACTTTTCTTTACTTGTCAGTTATTTATATTAATCACACAGATTCATTTCTTTGCTTCTTAACTATTCATTGAAAATTTCACTGATTACTCATAGACTTATTTTAAATCCACTGATTTAATTATTTTTCTGAGTGGAAAGCGTAAACAAATATGGAGTATCGAGTAATCAAATCGATTTTTCAAGTGATTTGACCTTGACATACTTTGAAATCGTAATTTTCCAACACTCCTGGTATAGCGTTAATATAAACGCCACGGCTTTTTGGTAGATTTTGTTGTGTTAATGCAATTTCATACGAAGTCGTTAGTTGAAAGTTGTTTCAACTAATGGGTAGTTCTAGAATTTTGTTCTGCTGAATCATTTGTAGTCGTTCTGTTTTCGGCAAGAACTGATACAGTTTGATTATTTTATTTGTATCTCTCAGACAACAGAAAAAATAAATTAAAATTAAACGAGAAGAGGGAGGGTAACTGTCTCAAGGCGATACCCAACTGACGCACATACCCAGAGAAATGGAAACGTTCCTGGCGTTCACTACTGTCACTATAACTCTGCGGCTGATGCTCATGCTCCGTCGATGGGCGGAGTGTGTGTTTTTCCCATTTATAAAAATATGATGGTGTTGGATATCAATAAAAAAAATGTTCCAGCCTTCTTAAGTCATGTAATCCAGTAATTAATCCTTGAATTTATGGTACAAAAGACGAAAAGTTCACTAATCGCGAGCAAACTCATGGCTTTGCATGAGACATCCTGTATATAGAACCAATGCAGCAGAACTTAATGAAAAGATTGTGATTTCAAAGTGCTGCTTGCTAGGATTCCCCCTCAGGTAAAATGCTGATATAAATCAATGCTTCCAGTCGAAAGCAAAAAATATCAAATCATTTAATCAAATGATTCTGCATAAAAATAAATTGTAGAGAAGTCCAGTTGATACAGGAGCAACACATGTCCAAGATGAAAAAATCGGGGATGGATATTCACAAATCGAAATCATCTTTCTGAAACAACCAAAAGAACAAGGAGCTTTATCTTTTTTCTTTAGCCCAATAAATAAAAAAGCACAATATTCAAATTGTCTTGTCAAGTGATAATCAGAATTATTCTCTTACAGTAATTCAGAATAAAATTAATCTTTGTGCGAAAAATAAACTTACAATGTTATTATATTCCAAAACGTGTTTTCTGATCGACGACGAATCCGTCCATGTCACGAAGTCCTCCAAATTCCTGAGAAAATTAATAGTTAATTTTATTAAAAGTGTAAAAAACAGTACATAGAAGCAGTACAGTAATCAGAAGTTAAAAATAATTTTCATCTGAACAATAACACTGCCCTATCAAAAGTATTATTTTGGGTGGCAATTGAAAGATATGCAAGTACGACCGAACATTTTTTCTGGGTAAAATCCCATTCAGGCAATATAGAACAAGATCCGATCTTTATTCTGAGCACAATTACAAGATGATTTTCTAAAAATTTTTTTTCAGAGAAAAATTGTTGAAGAACTAAATTTAACGTGTAGTTTTCATCAGAGGACCACACGTACATTTTGAATGCCATTGTTGGGCAACTTCGAGCGTTTTTTCCCTGCATTTAACCCTATATGACATTATGCGTTAGATTTTCCAGTTTTTTCTAAGAACATGGAAAAAAATTAATTTCCGAACAAATAATAATGAAGAAAATTTGAATCGAAAATATCTTCTCCCGGCGGCGGCCATATTGGATGGCTTGAATTTTCTAAGTTTGGCAACGGTGTGTTCGAGAAGTCCTCGGTCCGACTGTACTAGGTTATATGGAACACATGTACAATGTTGCCACACAATCATTGGAGTCAAGTACAAAATTAAACAAAAAATAGATAACAATATTCCTTAGATAAAGTGTCCAAAAGATTTACTTAACAATGAAAAATTCGAAAAGGTGAGAAAGTGGTGAAATTTAGGACAAAAAGAAAATTTTATGAAAAAAGTTATACTTTAACCAGAACACTTGAATTTGCCTAACTATCGAAAGATACAAAAAACCGTTTTCCATTCGATTGCTAATATCAAAATTGGTACTACGGAGAAAATTATCATTCGGTATTGCGGAGAAGGCCTCAATATCTTAAATACCAGCACATTAGCCAGGTGATGGAAAAATATGGGATCAAACTGCACCCAAGTCCGAATCTTCGTGCCTTCGAATTTCTGAATTTGGGAATTGATTGTTATTTCAATTATTTCTCCTGTAAGGTAAATGACTCTACGCTCGCTTAACCATGGTGAAAGTACCCATAGTTGGTCTTTCTATTAAAAGAGAGTGAAAATAAAATTCTTTATATTGTATTCAGAATGAGAGGTCAATGAAAGTGAAAAATATAATTCCTATTTTTTAAATTAATATCTCCTTCCCTCCCACACTCGTCTTGTCTATGACTTTATAGTCGTTTCTGAGATTTAATTTAATGAAGGGATTGCATTATTATTCCTATAGTCATTTTTCTCACTGATTTTTTAACGAAGCCTCTCCAGGGCTGACTTAGAATGCAAAAACTAGAAGAAAACCTTTTGCACATACCGGAGCTGAAAGGATCAGCGATTAGTTTTCTTGCACTTGATAATGCCTTAAACCGATGAAAAAAATAAGCAGTTATCTAGCAGAATAGATAATGGAGTGAAAGGAGTGTTTGATTAATCGAGCCTTGGTACAAAATCAACATGAACAGTAGAAACTGGTACTTACCTGGTAACTAAAAAAGCTGGGTCTTTGACAACTTCAGTGCCTACTCGTACGTGTCCCTGCTCGATAAACTGTGTTGCCATCTTTATACTTGGACTCATCTTGTTCCTGACCATAACCACTGGCAGTCGTCTCCTACAAAAGCTACTAGCGGTCACCTTCTGACATTGTGATAAATCCCATTTAGTTGCTATTAATCCCATCATATATAATTTCTCCAGCAGAGCCGCACTGTTTTCAATTCTGAATGGGTGGTTTGGATCCACATCTTTAATCTTGAGACCCAATTCACGAATTTCACGTGCCAATTTGTTATATCTAGGATGAAAAATAATTGCAGGCGTACAAATATATTGTCAATATAATAATAAAAAATTATATTTAGGCGATATCATGGAAAAGCTGAAGTTTTGAGTATCAACAAGTAACAGATCAGTAGCAAACAAACAATGTGTTTTATCAAATTCCTTTGAAAATCTAATTAAAATCTATGCTCACTTTGTATAGTCCTCTCGTTTCTGTATCCTATATTTCTGGAGAATCTTCACCTCATGCAAGTTATTATCTGCCTCCCAAGATATGAAATCCACCTTTTTTAGTAGTTTCTGTTCATGATGTTTCAATTTCCTCACCATTTTTTTTTAATAAGAAGATTCCACAGGTGACAAAATTGAAGTGATTGCTCAATACGTAGGTTATATTTTTGTTATGTGAACCTCGTGGTGTTTTGCTTTCCGCATTTGTGTTAACAAGGTCATCACATGTATAGGTTAAATTTCCACTATTACGGAGATCGAAGTAGAATAAGTTTCAAGAGAATTTGCGGCAGATGTCAGAATGAGTGAAAGAATTCATCACAATAAAAAATCAAATTGATATTTTGATGGAATAAATTAATTATTAATATAATTCATATGGTTTGCAAGTGTCCTGATAATTTGTTATGCATTTTTAAAACAATTACAAAATATGATGCGAACTTTTCTAAGATGGCAGTATATTTATCGAAAATTTAGAAAAATCGTTAGGAGCTTAAGATATCCAAGTTATTTTAGCGATATATTTCTTTCAGAATAACTCTTTTTAGAGTTATAGTTTTTAGAATAGACTAAAAGCTTTGTTTTACGCGATAAATGATGCCCATAAGAACTGGATGCTCCCCCCTTCAATTCAACAAATCGTTGTTTTAATTACATTTTATCGTAGAGATAACTAGTAAATGATTTTGTACATTATACTTTTCATTTTTTTTTGGGACATTGAAAAACATAAGTTTCCGGATAAATAATGGAAAAAGATCGAATTGAAAAACTCCGATTCTTCCGATTTGTATAGCAGCTCCATATTGCATGATTTGAATATATGCGTTTCTGACGTTTGGCAACGTCGCATAAATAACTATAGGGAACGAATCGACGAGGTTATATGAGATACATGGGCAGTGTTGTCATATGATCACTAAGGGTCAACAAATAGATTAACAAATGTCGAGTGGAGAATTAAGTTTAAATAAAAAAATGGTCAGAATATTTAATCAGAAAAAATCACAAAAACCCATTTAATAATGAAAAATCCGTTCCAAAATACTTTCCCAAATTACTTTTCAACCGTTGTAGAATAAATTAGAATTTCACGCGTATGATAATAAGCCTCGGCTTCAGCTCGGTTTGTTCACCTCACGCGTTAAAAACAGAATTCACCCCCTCGAAGCATAACATACTATTCATGATGGGGTTAAGCTATTTACCACCGGATTTTTTCTTTCACTTTGTCGGCCACTGGGGTGTAACACACCTCGAAAGCTTCAAAATTTCAATATGAAATTGCAGTTATTGAACAGGATCATAGAAAAATAGAAAAGTAACGAGACATTTCACCCATTTTGTCGGCTGCCCACCCACAAATGCAAATGGCGGACAACTTTTCAATTCTTCTGTGATGTTGTTAAAAATTGAAGAAAATTAGAGCTTATCTCGTCAAAATCAGAATCAACTGGATGGAAAATAAGTGGTTCATAGAAGAATTCAACAATAGAGTTAATAAATCCTAAAAACTCGTTGCCATCAATCACTGAGAGATCAATATTCAAATCCTCCCGCCCTCGTTGAAGGAAGTAAAAAAGGGATAAAAAATGGTCGCAGCCATGGAGTGGTATTCCACATATTCCACCAATGAGAATAACCACCGAATATAGTTAGAAAATCTTGCGGCGCTGTGTCGTCTGTGTCCAGGTGCCGGCCAATAACGATCCTTGTAAAATACCAAAATCAGCCAATGCCATTTGCCAAATGTGTAACAATCCCACCTACTGGAAGTTATTAGATTGAGCCCCGAGGGCCCGAGCGTATTATTACAACGTTATGCTCATTTGATTAAACCTGTCAAATAATTGTGCGTTTTTTTCCATTGCTCCACCAATTGTGACTCACTTGTCACACCCTTTTATAAAGCCCACAACTGCGTAAAAACCCCAGACAACCTGCAGTGGTTGATAAATAAGTTAAAAGGGAATGAGTTTCCTCGATAAGTTTGACGTTTAATATTATCACAGAGATTATCAAGCAAGTGTGTATATAGTGTTGTACGCCGTTGTTGTAGAAACTAGTCATATGATCCGATGTACTCATTCCACTAACACTATTACTGTAATTATCCTAGAGAAAACGTTGAGGGAAACCTTCTTGCTGGATTGAACACCAAATTGAACGATTTTATAACAATTATGTCATTTTTCGGAGTTAATGTTAATCCATTCTCGACTCCTGTGGGTCAGAGGATTGGTAAGTAATTGAATGAATCCTTGAAAATCCCTTCGAGAAGTTGATAATGATTCCATTTTTTTATTTCATGAAGAACAAGCAACTGATGGCAGTTTACCTAGTGAAAATTGGGCCCTCAACATGGAAATTTGTGACATAATAAATGAGACCGAAGATGGGCCCAGAGATGCTATTAAAGCGATAAAACGGAGATTCACTCAAGCAGCTGGAAAAAACTATACTATTGTCATGTACACACTGACAGTGAGTATTCACTGAGTATTCACTCTATTCAATAACCATCGCTTCGTTCATATTTATTATGCAAGATAAATCGAGGAAGATATCAGGCTGATTTATCTCTTCTCAATAATCGAATATTTCAAAATTTTCTGAGAAATTTCTGTGCTGCGGGAAGTAATGTCTTCACTGGTTCCCTGAAGTTTTTCGGTTTCCACATAATTTTAATAAATTTGAAGAATTTTATGGACTAAAAAGCAATCCATGCCTTTTTAACAAAAATATTTATACAGATTAAATTTTGAATTTATAATGTTTTCGTTCTATTGGTGAAGTCAGTTTTTTTATTATTCCGGGATATTTTTAATTAGTTTTTATTTCTTGTGTGAGTTTCAGGGAATTTTTGTGTCTTCAATAAATTCAGTATAATAAATGTTGTCTAACATGGAATATCCAAATTTATTTATTCCGGAATAAATAAATCTTTAAGATTTCATTATATTAAAAAATTGTCGGTGAATATTGTGGAGAAATGAAACATTCAAATCTTTAAATATTCAAATATTCTCATAAAATTTTAGAAGCAGATGAAAATTCCCCCATAAATCAAGAGTTGATTTTAAAATTCCAGAACTTCTCAGACTTTTTCGTTCTTTTCTTCAATTTTTTTCCATGAAGCCAGACTTAATTAATCAATGGATTAGATCTATCAGGATTTAATAATTGAGATCTGCAGATTTGCTAATGGAAGCCTCCATTCGAAATTCGAATATTCAATTTGAATTCCAAAAATCTTTTATTGAAAGAATCAAAGGGAAATTGTTGGGAATTTCGTGTTTTTAAATGAAACGATTTATTTCAGGTATTGGAAACATGTGTGAAAAATTGTGGCAAGCGTTTCCACAGTTTGGCATGTGCAAGGGAATTCGCTGGAGATCTGGTGAAGCTGATTGGACCAAAGAATGAACCTCCGACTGCTGTACAAGAGAAAGTTTTGAGTTTGATTCAGACGTGGGCCGATGCTTTTCGTCATCAGCCTCACACACAGGGTGTAGTGCAGGTTTATCAAGAGCTAAAGGCCAAAGGCATACAATTCCCCATGACTGATTTGGATGCAATGGCGCCGATTCTCACGCCAGAGAGGGTGAGCTAAAATATTTATTAGTTATCCTCACCATTTGTCTGAATCTGAGTAATCCTATTGGCTAAATTCATTTTTTTGGACAAGTTTCTGGCATACTTCTTGAATACGAAGGAAAATATTGATATTTTCATAAATACCTTTTTTTCAAGCTTTAACTATTTTCTTACAAAAAATGTCTGTGCTAGAATAGTGATGTTTAATTGTGAGACATTGAGCCAAAACTGATCTCGAAAAAAATGTATTTGTTCTGTTTACATTATTCATACATTTAAATATTTAATGGGTAGAGTGTCCCAGAGGTAACAACAGCTGCACCCCCGCCCCAGGAACGTCCAGCACCAGCTGCAGAGCCCACAGCTGCTCCCATTCTACCCACAGCGCAGCCTCAAGTGGCATCTCCAATTCGTCTCCAAGATCAGCACATTGCTAAACTGCGAAGTGAACTCGAAGTGGTCCAAGGAAACATGCGAGTTCTGGCTGAGATGCTGCAGCACCTGACCGAACAATGCCAGAACAATCAGCAGCCAGAGCAATCTGACCTCGATTTACTCCATCAACTGCACTCCACATGTCGAGCCATGCAGGAACGAGTGGTTGAACTCGTTGGAAAACTTGTGGACGATGAAATGACTGCTGAGTTGCTACGCATCAATGACGAACTAAATAATTTGTTCTTGAGATACTCGAGATTCACTAAGAATAAATCTATACCCCCGGCTAGTGTTATTCTGGCTCAGGCCATTGGACATCCACCAACGAGTAATGAAATTACAGGAAAACGTTCTGAACCATCACTTATTGATCTGGGAGATGGCGAGACTGCGGCGGGTCTTGATAAGCAAATTTCTGAACTGGGTAAGCAAAAATCCATTGAATTTTATTGATTGAAGAATATGGAAATTATCAATTCATGTATGAAATTATTCAGATGTATTATCGTGGGAATATCTCGCTGTCAAGCCATTCAGGATGAATTATCAAGGGACTTTCCATGTGTGAAATTTTTTCCATTGCATGCAAATTTTCTCATTTTCTCACTGAAAAAGACATGAGTAGAGTGATCTTCTTATGAAAAATGATATGAAATGTGAAATATTCACTTGGAGATTAATTTGATCAATTATTTTTCCTAGAAATTAAGGGAGACGAGACGAGGACTAAGACGAAGGATAAAGATCACCCAGATAATGACGAATTCGATATGTTCGCCCAATCCCGTAATGCAACGTATGAAACGACGAAGAACAGGTATAGAAAATATAGTGTCTCCCAGAAATTACATGTTCAATTTACGTCTTTAGTCTCATATTTTTTTTTGCTGTTCTACTTAAGAATCATTAATTAAAAAAAAAAAATTTTTATGTTTCAGTGGAAGTAAATACGAAGATAACATGGAGGAATTGGACAGTAGTATAACTAAAGCACTGAAAAATCGTAACCTGAACTTAGGAGCATCTGGAGCTTCAAATTCTGTAGAATCTGACATTGCAGCTCCGGTTGGGGCGAGAACTGTTTTGGTACGTGAATTAATCGTTTCTCATTACAAACTTTCATTATCATCATCAGTGTGATATTGTCGTTGCTTTTATCTGTCAATATTTTTTTAGCTTTATTTCTGCGCGCAAGAAATATTTTTATTTACAATTGCAATCGAAAGTAGGGATGGGGGGAAGTGATATTCAAGATTCTGAAACCCTCATATGCTCAAGAATAATACATTTTATGAATTGAAGTCTCTTCATTGAATTAAGTTTAATGAACGAGTACAAGAAAATTTATCTTATGATTGATATTAAATATTACATCATAAAAATTTGCTTTGGCATTTCCTTTAGACGAATTTATTATGGGAATAATTTCTTTGTGTTGATATTTTTGAAACTTATGTGTAGCAAAATAATTAATTATTCATTTTATATGACTGAACTTTTTCATATAACAAAGCTGGAAAAAAGTCTTTTAATAATCTAATTTATACTCTATCTTTGTTATTTCAAATTTTCTTCTCCTTTTACCCCACCGTCCCTAAAACGTCTGGAATGGAGGAACGTAATGGGTCAAGGATGAATAATTTTACAAACAAAAGTGAGAAGATATCTTAGTTGGATATATTGCCTGCATATCAGGTATCAAGATATCAAATTTGTCCTGTTACGTTCCAGGACTCCTCCCAAAACTGCTACTCGCTTTTCTGTTTCGTTTTTTATTCATTATTTGTTTATTTTTGTTCTTTTCATTTCACAACGAAATAAAAAAACCATATAGCCAAATCGAGAGTCAGAGTTCACAGAAATGGCAGCGTGGCTCGATAATACAGTGAGTATGGTTGATTATAATTTTTTCGGTTTTGTTTGGTTTGAATTACTTTCCATTACGTCGCCATTCATAAAGAACAATTCATGTATCTCCGCAGGAAAATGCGCAAGTCACCGTCGTAATTTTGTGCCAATTTAGATAATTGAGTGGTTTAAAGAATAGAATCAATTGCATAGCAAAAATTCACGATTGCTCTTGGAATTGCAAAAGAAATGAAAAAAATATTTGTGTGTCAAAATTTTTTCTAATAATTTCACCTCAAATCAATTAATAACAGTAATTCATATCACTGGAAAAATGGATCAGTTTGAAATTTTTTTTATGTAGAAATTATGTAGGTACTAGAAAATAAAAAACGACTCGATATTTATTCTCGCGATTTTCCAGAGGCTGTATTTTTTTAATGAGGAATTAATTGTTTATTGTTCCCTATCGATTTCGCCAGAACAATGGCTCTTATCTGAAACGAAAAACTTGCAAGTCATTGATTGTTATTTGCTTACGCATTCACAGACGGCCAAAGAACACACTGGGGATCAAGAATCCTTGACATCATCAGAATTCGAGAGATTTTTGGCGGAACGCGCAGCAGCAGCCGACGCATTGCCAAATTTACCAACAGTTACAACTGCCCCAAGTACAACAACAACTGGAAATACAAATATTCAACGACAAATTAACAAAGATCAAGACAAATCACTATTTGCCCTTTAAATAATACATTTATTTATCCGTCTATTGACTATTGTTACGAATTTTTTAAACAAATTATTATTATTTATATATTTTGAGAGATGAAAGAGAGAAGAGATATCGTTGCTTTCTGCTTTTACGTACTTATCAATTTTATTGTAACGCACCCTATAACTAAAAACCAAAATTAGATACGAAAATGAAAAATTTTGGAGAAAGAAATTAGTGTAATCAATGAATCAAGCAATCGTAAATGGCAAATTCTCTCTAATTGCTATGAATACTTGAAGAGAGTGGAAACTTTACACTTTTACCTAAAACCACCCTGAAACATAGTGCATAGATTCACAAAATGGAGGAAAATTGTTTTAAAAGGTAATTGCTATAATTAATTCATTGATCAATTCAATTGTATATAAAAGAGTCGGTTGGACTACTTTTTATATAATTCAGTCGACTTATACCAATGCAGGAGATGTATTTCAGTAATGAAGTGGTAAAACTTAATAATTATTAAAAACTCAGAGATTTAAGGTTCAAAGCTTAAAAACTAATAGTAAAAGTTCAAAATTTCCCTCACTTCGTAATTCGTGCCGAGTAATCACCACAGTGGAAATTCAATTTTCACATTTTACCACTTCACTACAGAGTTAACATCACGTGGAGTAAATTTCCAAATCATTGTAACATTTTAATGAATTAAATCGCATCTCAAAATTGATGAAGAACATGATAAAATGAGAAATTATTGTAGAGAAATAAATGCAATATTATATTGAATACAACAAACCGATGTTTTGTTATTAATTACGACTCAAATAGCGACATAGTGATAAACTATGTTTATCATCCCATCCCCAACAGTTTTCAATCTATTATTAGCGACTGAGGGCCAAGAATTTCGAAAAGGAAGATGTTATATAAGGGAGCAGAAAGTTGTAGGAGTGAGGAACAAAAAAAAAGAAGTTGGAACTTCGAGGTCTGAGGCATTTCATTAGACTTTGTACTGGGGGAAACAAGGTTTTTCTTAATGGATATGCGGCCCAAATGAACCTCCACGTACACTCATTACACATACATACACTAGATAGTGAACAAGACCATAGGATCCCAACGATTCTAGAACCTTATCAATCGTCTGTTTTACGCTTTACGCTTGCGTCAGAAAAACTCAAATTTTCACGCTCCACTATAAACACTTATTTCATCTATCTACAATTATTTCATTGTTTATTACACACTGGTGGTTCATATAAAACATGTATACAGTGTCGAAAGGACCGAGTAAAATAGTCGCCAAAACGAGAAGAGGTAAATTTAAGCGATATTCTATTGAACAAATGATTGAGTGCAGTTCATTAGGAAGTTGTGATTTGTGTTATTTTCATTTTATTTTATTTTTTTATTTGCCCTTTATTGCAGGAATTAATCAGAATTTGGAGAGACTCGAGACTTTGAGGGATTTAACGAGAAAAGCTGATCCTGCTGAAGAGGAATTCGACGATAATGAAATTCCCCGGTGAGTTTTCGTTATTTTTCGCTACCATAACCTTAAATTTACCGATAAATATCATTTTTCAGTGTTAAATAATGAGTTCTTAGTGATGGTATCAATTAATTTAGGGTTTTTATTGTAGGCAAGCACCAAAACCTGTGTTCAATGTGAATGGCAAATCGAAATTGTGCTCCACGAGGCAACATAGGATACAGGAGGTTATCACACCTCAGCATGAGGAACTCATTAAATTTGTATATGAATGTAGGTCTCAAGCATTTTTAAATAGTCTTAAAAGTTTAACTTCTCGCGAGTAAATATTTTTTTTCTAAAGCCAAACTTCACTTCAATTTTATGCAATTTTATTAAGTGGAAAATAATAATTTTAAGTGAGCTGCAATATAATTCGATGGGCGAAATAATCGTATTCCGAATACGTTTTAAACATCAATAGAATTTTTCCGTACATTTATCAATTTCCTGCATTTTCATATCAATTTGTGAATTGTTTTTCTGCACAGTTCGATTTATTTGAAAATCAAAACGTTTTTATTTTGCAAAAGATTTGCTCAGAATTCATTATAAATCAATTTAATAATTTCTCAAGTTCATTTCTGTGTGTTGTTGTTTACTAGTAAAATTGTAGTAGAATAGTAAAATAAGCTGAATTAAGTGATTCTTTCGATGGATTTTGAAAAGTATCCCGAAACTATGGGGCTATCAACATTTTTCTAATAACCTTTTCGATAATTCTCGACTAGCTCAAAAAAAAACGTTAGACAAAAAAAAACCCATTATCTCGTTGATTTTCTACGATATTGGCAATTGACTCATCAAAGATGTAAATTCACTTATTCCTTCGGCGTATTTTTAAAAATATTCCCGGACCTAAGGGAGCTCGACGTTTTTCTAATAACCTTTTTCATAGTTCTGGGCTAGCTCTAAATAAATGATCATGATGAAAAATTCGCCGTCTCCTTTAATTTCGGATATATTATGTATATATATTCACTGCTTTACGCAATTTTACTAGTCCATGAATAGAAAGTTATATCATTATTTAAAATTACAATCATTCATACGTATTAATTAGCTTGGAGCCAAGTGGATGGTAATCGTAGTAGAAAAGAGATAACAGAACAACCCCACGAGCTAGAGAATTCATCAACCCAGTACTACAACGACGGCGAGCCTAACGGTATTCTCCAAGGTAATCATTACCCATTCACTCCAAAGAAACCATTAATTCGAACTGATTAAGACTTGATTATTCCACTTTTTATAGATTTCAAACCGTTCGACCTCGAGTCATGGTGGGGTAAACGGTTGTTTAATAACATCACCAAGTCCCTGTGAAAATTAAACAAGAGGAGAAGAGCAACAGAAGCTCAAAATACGTTTGCGTGGATTTTTTTAATGCCACAACGGCCACTCCACAGGAACAATTGTTTTTTTTTACCGGATTATTATTGAGAAATGATAGTGATGATGTAATTCATGTGTGCTTCAGTTGCATGATAGCACAAATGAGAGATTTTTTTATATATATATACATATGCATACATATATATATATATATTTGGATAATTATAAGATTTCATCCGTTGCTGTATTGTTAGTAAAAGAGTGATCATTATTATTATCTCGTGGTCTGTTATGTTGTCATTGAAAATGCCATGCAAATATTTCGCATCTTTAAGAGAAATGGCAACGAAATCATCTCGTTATGAATGATTTTGGCAGGAAATGTTAAATGCTTGCGAAATATTCCGATTCAAACTGGTTTTGTGAATAATATTTAAAATATTTTCGGTCGAAAACGATTTAGGGAAAAGTTCAAGGAAATTTTCTTATGAAAAATGCCAAGGCCTACAAAAATCTTTCGAAATCAATCTCTAAGCATCTAACCGAGTAAAAATGCGAAATCATTTCAATTATGTATAATTTTTTATTAAAAAAAAAAAATCGCTTATTGAATTTGAGTCCTCGAGACGTCCCGAACTGCGCAGTGAAACGAGAAAACGGAAAAACAAATTTTTAGTATATCTTCGTAGACTGAATATTTTTAAGATTGTTATTATATCGTTGAGAAGATCGAGTCAAAATCTCGATAGTAAAAAAAAAACTCACCACGTGAGTAATTTGTTGCGATTGACTCGTAACTTTCAAAATGCCATTCATCACTGTAGTCCATACTTAGTGCAATATATTTACTATAAAACAGCAAAAGATGTGAATTGATTCCTGAAAATTCATTTGATGGGATTATTTGAATAATTAAATGAAGAGCCTCGGTTGTTATTTCAATATAAATATATATTATCTTTGTACGCTGGAAAAAATGTTTTTCTCAACTTTTTTTCATCTGATAAGTGATTAATTGAAATTATTCCATTTATTAATTTTTGCCTGTTCTTACCTACTATTTATCTATACATATATATATCATGTAATTTACAAACGAGGGGGGGGGGGGATCTGACTGGGAAGTACAGTTTTGTTGATAGGTTAGGTATGAAAAAACCTTTTGATTTATTGTTAACAATGACCTTTGGTCTTTTCCATGGATAGATTTATTCTCAGTACTTCATTGAATTTCATTGATTAAATCGAAAATATCGAGAAATAGATTATTTCAATGAGAAAGAAACGTGGAAAATATCGGAAAAATGAACGCAGTTATTGCGATGTGCACATTTTGTGAAGTGCATGGACCGAGGGTCATATTCACGACGCAGACTTACCGAATTTACGATAAAGATGATAAAGAAAGTAAGAAATTGAAGTTTTATGGGCCCAGGGAAATTCTTGAGGAGGCGGACAAGAGGAGATTGACAGGTGTCGGTGGTGAGAGGAAGGAGTGCGATGGGTGCGAGAGTCTTGGAAATGTCAAGTACTTGAGTAATGAGCATGACAGCAGAACGTCATTTGTATCTGCTAGACAACCACTCACTCAAGATATTGCTAATCTCCTTGCACATGCCTGCATTAGGTACTTAATATGTTTTTTTATTTTTGCAAAACAAATCGCTAAGAACAATTGTAATTCACTCACCTTCATTCATTAATTTGCAGAAGCCTAAGTTGTGAACTTCATCTAGGAAAAAATGGAGTCTGTTATTTTGGAGATGAGGTACGAGGTCATGTGCTCAGTCATGCTTTTACTCTGAAAGATGCACAGGTGAGATTTTATTGGAGTTTTATTGGAAATTGAGAAAGTGATGGAATGGAGATTTGAATGATTCGTTCAGGCTAGGGGAATACGTAGATCATGCAGTTTCATTGTCTTCATGAAGGATAAACAATTCTTGCTCAATATGTGCCCCTTCTTCGTGGATAATCTCAGGCAAGTTATCAAGGAACTTCAGGACTTTGCTGAGAAAAAGTATAACGCAGATGAGAAAGAAAATCCTCAGAGAGCTGCCAGACTGTCATCAGCTAATAGAGAACCACATGGTAATCGAGAAACTGCCAGAGGCATGCCTAGAGGTCTGCCACAAATTACTGATGAGAAACACATTTTTGTTAGGTGATTTTAGTTTCTTATTCCAATTTTACTGATGACAAAACCATAATTAAACTTTAATTAATCCCAGTTTTGAAATTTTTTCTTCAATATTATATCTCAAATATTCCAATGATTTTGGAATAAGGTCAAAATCACGATTCTCATTAATTTTCTCTAATCAATGAAGTTTATTATTGTATAAATCGATAATCGTAGACGACTATTCGACTATTTCTATTTTTCAAGACATTAGGAACTTTCCCAGTTTATTATCATTGACAATAATATTAAAATGACTAAATTCTTCAATATAGAATCCACATGTGGCTGGTTTGGATATTAAGTGCAGGTGCTCGTCACTTCGTTGAGTCCTCAGCAACTCTTGACAGTCCACTATCAGGATTTCTCATCAGATATCAAGATTTTACTGAAAACCCCGAATTTTCGGAGATCTCAAAGAAAAAATTTGTCACTACAGTCTTACGTGAAATTTCACAGCAAATGTCGAGGGAACATTTCAGGCAACTGCTGTTCGCATGTCTCACTGGAATTCAGATAGTTGTAAGAGGCCCAGACAGTCAGGCACTGGAGATTCTTTATGCCCTGAGTTCTCTGGTTCCCAAGTCCTGCAGGAGAATCCAAATGGGGGCGGACGAATACAAAAATATTAACGAGTGTAATTTTCTCGGTGAGAAGGATTTTTTATTCGAAATCTTCATAACTTTTTTTTCTAATCAAAGAAATTTATCGATTTTAGCAATAATCGTTCCCTTTGGAAATCCATTTTTATCAAATTTTTATTCCCATAATAGATGTATTCTTTATATTATTATTATTATAGATGCAGAAATTCTGGAAAGATATCTGGGAATTTCATCGGCAATCCTTAATTAATGTTGTACTTACTCCTATATTTTAAAAGTTAAATTATGATTTATCCTCAGGTATTGATACGCTCGTAGCAGTTCCAGCCCCATCTTCCCACATCTGCAGATTAGATATAATCCCTGAGGAGCACAAAAGCACATATCCACGATCTCCAATCCTCAGGTGGACAGGGGAATTGCCCCAAAAATTGCCAACACTCGTAGCCAAACTCGAAAAATATATTTACAATGATAAACTCGAAAACAATGTATTACGAGCACAATTTATTGCTCTTCAAGAGGAATGGGCTAAGTAAGGCATATTCTTTTACATCACAATAATTGTACAATTTCGACCACCAACCACCATTTGTTTTCTTATTCTCAATATGTTTTCTAGTATCGCTAAAATCGTGCATGCTATGCGAGGACGTGGCCACCGGGGCGATCTCTCTGGTCTCATCATGAGTTTAGGTGCTGACAAACATGATCTAGGATTAATTGATTCTTGGTCGATGGGTCTTCCCTCAAATCCCGCGTGAATTGATAATCATATAAATATTTTGTTTCTCTTCCTCTTAATTTTCATAACTTGAATGTAATTATTTATTGAAAAAAAAGTATTTAAGAATCAGAAAGGCAAATTGTGCGATATTGTTAATACTAATTTTCTCACGTTGATGTACACTGGAAAACCTGATTAAAATTGGTTTCAACGAATTTCAAGTCAAATGTTTATTATTAAAAAATGGCAACCTATTCACTTAATCGTTGTTGAATTATTGATTAATTATCCTTCTCGTGGGATAGGACGTCCGCTGCAGCCTTCACTGCTGCAAAAATGAATGATAGTTTATCCATTAGAGTATTAATAAAATCTATAGTGACATGACATAATTGAGAAATATATTTACACATTATTTTACAAATATCTGGAAATAGAAGTCAATTTATATCCTAAAATTGGAGATTGGGGAATTGTAAAAATCCCCAAAATTGACGAGTGCATTCTTTAGTACCACCTTTTAGCAATTATCTTGGCATTGAAGAAAGATCATAAAATTTTTATGAATACCATGTTTGGTGAGCTACTTCGATAATGCCGGGTTGAGGAAAAGGGTGCAGAGATAAAATTGAAGGAAGTTAGACGCTATTTAATTAAAACCTCGTTGATATACTTTATTCGGCTTAAACCGCGTCAACTTGTCTAATGCATAAAAGCCTAGTTTTAACTTGATGAATTGTCTCTGAAATTGTTAAATAACTGATAACAAAAAATTGCTGAGTAACTCGAAAGTTTAACGCGAATTGACTTATCAATTAATTTGTTGATGTACTCGGAAAACTGTTGGGGGTCTCTTTGATCAATACGCAAAAATACATCTATACTTGTGAGATCTCGAACATAACTTTTCCTCCTAGTCTATCGAGGTTTTTCTCGGTCAAATGTCCCCAAATCCGAATGACCCAGAGGTCTCTCGAATTCTGTCGATTAACTATCGATATCGAGTCGAATGAAATTTTTTATTATCTTTTGTAGCTCACATTTTTCTCTGTTAAAAAAATCGCGACCTTTCTTCAATTTTGAAATATTATCTCAAACCTTTATTAATTTTCTTATTTTTTTTTTCAGTTGTCTAATTTAAAGATAAACTACCATTAATTACAGATATTGCAAAATAAAATGTTTTTCTGTTGTTTTGTAAACTCTGCGGAATAGTAAACGTGGAAAATAATGGAATTAAACTTACCAGCGTCTCGAGCATTTGTCATGATGTTGTCGACCTTCGGCTGATATTGAATGAATTTTGGTCTGATGAAACGATGATAGATGATGAGAGATCCATTGTATTCCAATGGGACCATCAGCCAGATGTAAAAAACACACTAAATCAAAGAATTCATCATGAAAAACAATTTTATTGACAGGCATGACAAATAGACCCAACATAATGGGAAAATTACCATGGGTCTATTTTTTCTGTGAACTATTTTTTCAGGGATTCAAAAAATACGTAGATTTCGTCCTTGAAACACTATTATAAATACTAAAAAAGAATACAAAAAAAGATTGTTTCGATTCTGGACTAGTATATTTTAATAATTCTCAAACAAATATTCTAATGACGTTTCAAAATATTATAAATACAAAATAAATAAATTTACAAAAGAAGACTGCAAGAATTAGATCGTAGAAAGAAATTTTTTCGATTTTTTCCTCTACAAGTCTTGATATTGGAGAGTTTTACGAAACAATCTTCAACAAATTTAACAAAATGTGTGCTACGAAATGACAAAATGATTTAACGAATGATTTACAGTTTCGTAGATGTGCAGATATTATACAACGTCATATATTACCTTGAACAGCCAATAAACAGGGAACCATCCGACGATGAAATCGGAAAAGAACTCAATAATAGTGAAAACGGCAAAGACAACCCAGTAAGTAAGCCATTTAGTATCATCATCCTTTTTTGGTGTCTCCAGTGCTTTCATTGAGCAATAAGCTGGATAGATAAATCCAATGATGTTGCATATAAGTTGTTGACCAAGTCCAAATACTAGGTATAGCCCCAGGAATGCAACAGATGCTGAAAAAAAATAGCAATCATTAAAAAAAAATTCTTTACATTTGTAATGATCTCTGATCATGAGAGAGGAAATCAGTGAAAATGATGACATAACTCATTATTACATACCCACAAAAATGTAAAGTCTGTCAACACCTGTTTTGGCCTCTGCCATGGCGAATAATTTTGTCCAGGGTTTACTGTCGTCTCTCAATGCCTTCTCCACAGCTTCCTTCGTCGCCATTACACGAGCCATATTTTTTAAAAATTTCCTTGTTTTTTCAAGTGATTGATTACGTGTGATAACGGAATGAATAAATGATAGTGACTTTAGCCGGAGGAGAAAATATCCACCGGTAGACAAGTCCGACAAGTCTGACGACCGTTGGTTTTTGATGGGTCAAGGTTAGGTTTGCAAATTACCAGGTTTCCGTGATTTTCAAATTTGGGAGGGTTCTGCGCATGCGCCGCACCATATTGTCTTTGGCGCGCCATCAATGCAGTTGCCAGCTTGCATTTCGAATCTCATAAATCCGCGCAAGAAAGCATATATTAGTTTACGGTAATTGCCATGAAAATAATTCAAGTCTTTATTGATGAAAAATATTGTTTTGATGTTGTCCGATTAATTGATTTATTTCTTGAGGTATTGTTCCGATTTTTTCAAGGGAAAATGTTGTTAAAGTGTGAGGGAGTGTTTCAAGCTTCTCACAAGTGGTTTTCAGGGGATAGTAATGGTATATATCAAAATAAAGAGGCATCTTTCTATGATAGAAGTAGTTGCTTTCACCAGAAGATGAAGACTGAATTTAGCGTGATAAATCATGAATGCGCCATTTTTATGGGACGTAATTCTGATTCTGGTGATTACTTTTGCACATTTTTAAAGTCGACAGGAAATAACTATTTAGAGAAAGCAGGAAAACCACCGATTAATCGAGAACGGATTCAGCGGATTCTTTTCAGCAGGAAGAGGTTGAGACTTCTTCCTTTGATGACCGAAATCCATCGAGAAAATCCATTATGAATTAAATTCAAATAAATTCACGATTCAATAACAGAGAAATCTTTGATAATTTGATTCTCAAGAACAGGATCTTCGCCAAGAATGAACAGAAAAAATGTCTTCCTGAAAAACATAAGTCTAGTTCTGATCATTTATTTAGCTTTTTATTTGTACATGTGTTTTTAAGTTCACGTGAAATATTCCATTTCCTCTAATGTATTTCTGCAAATGTTGAAGATAATTTATGCATTATTGAGTATTAATAGTTGTTTTGTATTAAAATGTACTCACATTTCACCAAACTGCATTTTTTCAGATGTCAGTGCTAATTTTCTAATGTTTCGGATGGTTGTAGCTGCTGCTATTTGGACTTCAGGATCTTCCGACCCAACGAGACGTAATACGTGCTGAAAAAATAAGACGAGAAACTATGCCAGTTTTAACGTTTTTTCTTAAATTACATCTCAAATATTCCAATGATTTTTTAATAATATTTGGACGACTTTCGATGATTTTTATCTGATTTGTAAAATTTTTCATTTTGAAAATCAATAATTGTCAATAGTTTTTGTTTCTGGAAAAATTTATTGTAGCATTTGGTTTTATATTTCTATAAATAATTGAGATAGAATTATTTCGTTTGTTTCTCCGAATTCCTGAGCCGATGTGAATATTTTTGTGAACTATTTTTATTTTATCGTGTGTAAAAATTTGTGTATATAGAAAATCCTGATATGACTGTTTTACATCACCGTATAAAATTATTACAAATTACAGCAGAAATAATAGATTACTTCGAATTTTTAAATTGCGTCTATTTAGTAAAAATGCATTTACTTCGTACTATTTATGAATTGCTTACGTATTAATTTTTTATTTTTAATGGAGCTCCACATAAAAAGATAATTACAACGGGTTCTCAGATTAATATACTATTTATTTTGATTTAATTGAACCTTCCGATGATACAATATAACTAATTTTCCTTTTTCAATAACATGCATGAAATTCTTACCTTTATAACACCGCATGTGTGCATTGTAACACAATTAAGTGGCTCCTTACTCAAGTGATAGAAAGCTATGCACACACCCTTGAGTACATCCTTATTTTTGCTATTTGCATAATTCACTAACGGTGCAACTGCATTTAAACGTCCAAATTCGTAATTATTCCGTCCCCATTCGGAACAAAATGCGATTGCTAGCGTGAGATAAGCCCTCAAATGTTCGTCTTCCTGCAGAGATGATTAAGCTATTCAAATATTTTTTTTGTTATTCGCTATTAGATTTTAATAAATAAGTCTCTAATTTCGTTCGGTGGAGAAATTGACATTTCACTGGCAGAATAAAATAATTTACTTTAAGAATTAGTTGGCTGCTGGATTATTATGTTATCACATTATTACACAACATGATAATTATGGGAAAGTGACAAATTGAATTAAATTTGAATGAGAGGTGAAATGGGCGTTTAATGTATTTCATGTTTCATTTGAAATCCTGGATAATAATGGGCGCGGAATTCTTAAGTGAAAATGTGTCAGAGCCTATTGATATAGTCAAAATTACAAAAATTGAATCATAAATAGATGAGTCTCTAATGAATGCCTTGGCATCTGGAGGCGATTATGAAATGATAGTCAAGATAAGCAAAGTATCAAAGAGATATCTATCAAGTTCAATTAATGCTCCTCATTCGGGCAAGAGAATAATGCAATAAATATCTATCGATATGGATTCATAATTGATTTATGACTAATAAGAAGATTTTAATGTCCGAAATGTCAAATTGTTAATTAGAGGAGGGAAATCATTGCATTATCTATTTTACCCTATTTTTTCCGATCCATTCTCACTTTATCACTTTATCCTATTTATAATCTTAAAATAAAGTTACTAAAAGTAACTTCAAAAGGTTACTAAATATCCTCAAGTCTTATTCAATGAATACTAAATATCCAGATGGTGGAACCGACGGCTAAATAGGACATAAAGATTATTTTCCCTAGTACATTGAATAATTACAGTATGAACATGACTGGCAAGCTTCTCCACGACCCCATGATCCGTCAAAATTCCCAAATTCTCCGAGTCAACGGCAATTTCGGCGATAGCAGCGCAAACAGCAGCAAGAACTTCAGTGTCATCGGTCTCTAACAGAGTAACTGTCAGTTCCAGACCTCCAACAAAAGCTCGAACCATTTCCGGCGAATCTTTGGCACGTTTTATGCAAGGAACCAGTGCCCAGCAGGCATTCCTCTTGACAACATTGCTAGGATGCTTGAGAAGAGACCAGACAAGTCGAACTCCATCCAGAGAGTGGGATGGGTCATTTATCACATCCATGCATTGTTCATCTTCAGCGCATTCTTTTATCACCAGGGGTAGATTTTCCAGGAGAGGCTCGTACGTGCAGCTCAATAATCGAATCTAATCAATCATTCAAAGTCATTCAACAAAAGAGGAGAAGAGGTTACATAACTATAAAAATTTTGCTGTCAATCTTGGGAATTAGGGAATTAGTGATTGAATGTGTAATTACATACCAATTTGGGCAGTCCGTTATTAATTCTGAGAACTGCTCTGTTCGCAGGATCAACACAGCATTCTGCTAATGCTCCAACGACGTGTGCAAGAACTTCTTCATCTTCATTCTCTTCAAGCAGTGGAACCAGGGATGCAACTAATCCATTTTGATTGAACCTCGATACGTTCTCTGGGCTAATTGCACATTTCCAAATAGCTCCAGTCACTGCAGCCAGCAATTTTTTATTCGACCGCACTTGTTCATTCTGAACAAGACGACAGAGGGGATCCAATCCTCCAGCCTGTCTCACCATATCTCTTGTCAGTTTGTTGGAGGCACATTTGAAAATAGCCAGAGCACAGTTCTCCTCCAGTTTGACTCGATCCCTCTGAGCTTTCAGGATCTTCTTGTCCTCTGGGGGATAGTCTTCGTCGGTTCCATTTTCGTGATTTATTTTTGTGGGATGGGGGTCGTGGGTTTTTCCATTTGTTATTGACTCGCCAGTTCGAAGGTGACGAACGATCTCTGAGATTATCCCCATCTGCTCAAACGCCAAACGAAATACTTTCTGCGGAGAAATAAAAGAAATTCTCCCCTGGAGTTATTCTTGATGACAACATTTTTAATTGACGATATTTTATCTCAATTCAGTAATTCAATCTTATCAGTTTAACGCCGATAAAGGTAATCAATATTAAATATTTTTTCAATAATTTTTATTTCCTCTTTGCGATTTTAGAGCATTTATTCAATGAGTCCTGTATGAAAATTAAATTCATACAGGAGTATTTGCGAGAATAATAAAGGTTATTATAAATTTTATCTAAACCGAATTACTATTTTTTAGAAAGAGATGATACGTAAAATTCGATAAATTATCATCGATAGCTCTTGATTAAAGCGATGGAATTAAAAAATTCAAAGGGCATTATTAAGAAATCACTAAGATCTTTGAAATACTATATGAATGTTTTCATTAATTAGCTTTGACAATCTAGAAAAATTGGAATACTTTAGAAATTTAGGTAAAACATGAACATTTTCCATTTTCACGTTCAAAATGCCAGAAATCAATGAAAAATCATGGGAATCACATAACTCACTTATTTTTTTAGAGCTCAATTAATGAGCTTTCACGTGAGGGTATATAATATCACCTCAATACGATAAGGAGGGAGAAATTATTCCAAAAACTGGAGAAAAAAGCAGCATTACGTACACAGATCATTAACTTAACAATTGTTAGTAAATTTCGCAGAATTGAAAGAAGCTAGCGCATTTTACAAGCTACAGAGCTACAAGAAAGGTATCTACAAGAAAATCGGTATGTTCTTTGATTTTCGAGCTATCGACTAAAAATCAGCCTCGAACAAAACGCATTTATCCTCTTCTTTATAAACATCTTCTACAAACCAAATCAGCACATTGTTGAACAGCTCCCATAATAGGCACAACGAGTTCAATATGTGTTGATTGTAAAAATCGACTCATGAAAAAAACAACTCCATGCTTGCGAAGTTCTTCTTTAATTTTTGGGCTGCTGCTCAACGCATCCAGAACTTTAGCACATGCAATTGCAACAGCAACATGTTGATTTTCATATTCACTCAATTGTTCAGAAGTACGACGTAGAACATTATCAGGTACGTCCATAGCATCCAGCTGAAAACCACACATAAATATTTCAATTGAAATAAATAGATATTTCCATTGAACAGAATTATCTTCAATTGAAAACCTTTTGAATCAACATTTTCATTTGTCTTATAAATGTTTCATTGAATTTTATTAAGTTTTAGAGTTAAAACCTCCAATTTGTTGTGTCAATTTTTGATTTCTTATTTGGGTAGCTCAATCCCGCACAAACAAATGAATAATACAGTAAGTAATAGTAAAAGTTGCAGTAGAGATTATACGGTGGGATTTTAGTTGAGATTTTCTCTCAACTGCAAATTCAAGAATATCACCAGAAAAGAAAATTCAGCACCAACTTCAGCTTCAGGGAAAATAATTTGCTTCCTAGCCAAACATATTCTTATTTATCATAATATTTGAATATGGCATTTAAGAATTTTCAAGTGGAAATATCAAATTTCGGCCAGCAGAATATTTTCTCATGAGAAATAATAAAATATTGAATTTAAAATAATAATAAAATCTTGGGACAAGACAGTCTTGTATAGATGAATTTATCTTTTCTGCAGAGTTAATTTGTTCTCTCGGTGTAATTAAATGGTTTCTATCTTAGGGTAGAACTTACGATTAATGCTATGCCATTCCGGACTCTAATCTGCTTTCTGGCTTTTCTCATCATTGCAACACTCGCCATCGTTTCTGCAGCAAGAATTCTCACGTCTCTTGCAGGATGCTTTAACATTTCAATGAGTGGCGAAACAATACCCAGATCGATTAAATAGCGACGAGTATCGAAACAGTTCCCCATACGCGATAAAACTGCTAGGGAACCCAATTGACATTTCACATCTTTCGTCTCCAGAAGATTCACTAGGACTTCCAGGCCACCCATTTCTCGAATCGCTCGTTGAATCGGCTGTAAAATCATTTGACATTCTTATGAACTAACAAATATAGAATTATCTAAGTAATCCCGACAAGTACGATCTATATTGGTTCCACACTAAAATTAATTGTAATTGCACCTAAATTTTTATCAAAGTTAGTTTTTAAATAATTTCTCGAAATTGGAAGCAGATAAAGGGAAAAATGAGAGCTACAAAAATCTATCTTTCGTCAGTTCTGAAATATTTCATGAAAGATATGGAAATAATTTACTTCTCTTGATTTAACATCTGGTTATGCATTTTTCGTTATCATTTTTGAAATTATGAAAGAACTTTGAAATATTTGCATGACTGTTTTGGTTAATTTCAATGTTCAACAAAATGTACTTGTCATGGTTTTTATTTTGAATATCAAGCTCTAAATCCGAAGTCAAGTCTCAGACTCCTGCAACTGACATCAATAATAATGAACTGTAATTATAATCAAGCAATCAAATAATTAACTAAATTTGTTACTTCTTCAAATAATTTCGTAACTGTTACATCTTGCGGAAAATTCTGTCATGTAATTCTTGATTTATACGAAATTTCCAAAAAAAAAATTACAGAAAGAATAACAAAAGTCATTTCTATGAATAATTTTAAATCAAATGAAATTCTCTCGTAGCAATAATAACTCTTGTTGATTTATTATGGATGTATACCTTGCTGTCAAGTTCATAATTCTTCAACAAACACAAAGCAACAGTCGTGGCAGTTTGATTGCCAGCTTTAGTGTACTTGATCAACTTTTGGAGATGCCAGAACTCTGAAGGGACTTCTGGCGTTTCCTCCTTGACATAACTGGTGTCATCATCACTTCCAGACTCAAGTTCATCGTCAGAGCTCTCCTCCTCAGCGGTTTCATCGATTATTCGATGTCTCGGACCCTCAGGATCACCTCCAATGGATCCAATGATATTAGCAGAAGTTGTTGACGCCGCAGCTTGCACTGAAGACAAACTCCCTTTTTTCCCCTTTATCGCTTGTGATTTTTTATTATTACTTCGTTTATTGTTATTCCCCGGCATCATGCGAATTCTTCAACCCTCGAAATTTCGAAATTCTTTTAATTTTTCATTAAACACCAGATTCCTCGGACTTGGAATATATACATTTTCTGGGATTTCAGTAATTTCGGGTTTCTATTATTTTTTACTGTCAAATTTAAAGATTTATTGGGAAATTGTTGACCTCCTGCTGTGGCTAGGGAAACTATGGCAACCCAAACATTTCGGAAGAACACGTTTCTATTCTCGACTCAATACTCTTAAATCGCACTTCAACATCTCAATTTTTCAATCAATAAAATATAAATTTTAGTTATTTAAATGGAATGAGCAAAATCATTTACTATTTTCGACTATTTATAGCGAATTTATTGACGAATTACTCTCTCAAGTGTCATTCTTGCATTGAGAATTTCTATTAGTTATACATTTTTTCTATTGAATTGTTTATTGTTTACCGATTTTACAATGGAAAAAAATGAATTATGGAGAGAATTAAGCCTTTATTCAAGTGATATAAAGTTTAATATCTTTGTAATCTATTCTTTTTGGACTTGGTTTAAAAAAAACTATTTCTTACACTAAATCTTAAGTACTTGATACAAATCACAGTCGAATTGTGTGAAGTTGTTTCAATGAGGGCAGTTAATTGATTTAATTTAATTGTTTTTTAAACAGTTTGAATTAACATAACCAATGGTTATCCCAATATTAACAGAAAATATGCCGACTGTATAATTATATCATAAATGAATATAACGTATAAGTAGAGAGATAATACATTTTATTTTCGTTCTACGGTGTGTAATTTCATATTTTATTCAAGATGTTCACATGCCCCAATAGGAAATATCGGGACATTATATTAATTTTTATTTTAATTATTCTAATTCCCATGGGATTTCATATTTCTATGAAATTTATTGGAGTAAAAAAAGATAACTCTGTAAGTGTGCAAAGATTATTTATTCATCAGTTCCTCGAATTTTCGTTAGAATATATATTGATAATTGATAGAATAATAATGACCACAATTGGAAATAGAAAGTATCCATTGATTTTTCGCTGTGAAATCTTCATTACAATATTGAATTAATATTAATTAATGATTTAATTGTCAATTCTTCTTCCAGTCATCTTTTCTTTTCTTATTGATATTTTTTCAAAGAAATGAGCATAACCTATTAATAATTATTCTAGGATAATAATTATTCAAGTGGAGATTCAATGAAAACGTCAACTCCATTTAAGGCCCGGCCTTCTCACCGTGGGAAAATCGTAGTGACTTTTACCCCCCCACGGTTTGCGGCAGACTTCGAAGCTCCATATAAAAAAAACACGGTCGGTAAGGAGAAAAGTGACAAAATAGCACAATTTTCCAGGGCCGTCTAGAGCTCCGAAGTCAGGGTGCCTAATTTTCTACC